CGAATTCCATTCAAGTACATTACATTCACTTACGCGCTATAACCTTTGGGAAAGATATGATATATCTCCTCTTCAGCTATGGGTAAATAGAAGGGTAGACTGGTTCCTATAGACTTGGTTGGCGACTAATCTAGGAGAAGGAAAACTCTGAATTCAAACCAGCCTGGAGAATTTGGGGCGTTTCCAGACTATTTCGCACACGTATCACCATGCGGTACATATGGTCCTACGACCCTAATAGGTTAAGGGACTCATGATCGAACACCCATAAAAAAAGATATGAATGTATCTCTTCTCCCTTAAGCTATGGGTTAAATAGCAGGATATACTGGGTCCTATAGACTTGGTTGGCAATCAGTTTACCCCGGAAAGAAAATCTGTGGGAAAATCTTCTGTCTAGTCAGTCATGGACCGAAAGAGACATGATCATCGAAGCGTGTAACGCGGATGGCACTTAACTGACGGGATAATAACTTCAGCGTCATTTCAATGAAGTTTTAGCCAGGGTTACATTTGTGAATGGTTCTCTTGGTAAAGAAGCTCGTCTTTATGCAAAAAGTAATGTTCTTTGAGTGACTTAAAATCGTGGCCTACGCGGAAGTAACACGAGAGGTCAGATGACATTTAATGATTGAAAGAAATCTTGTCTTTATCAACCATAACTGGGGCGAACTTCTCGGCAATTTGCCAAATTTGGGTTAGGTTGTTGTTGTTCTTGTTTTTCTTGTTCTTGTTGTTCTTCTTCACTGTTCCGTGTCCCTTCAGGACGTTGGCGATCATAGCTCTTCACAATAACCTGTCATTTGTAGCTCTTAATAACTTTTTGCAATCTCTTCCATACCCTTCTCCGCCATCCAAGCTTGCCAGGAAGGTTATGGATTTCTTTTCACTGTCCTGCTAACCTTCAAGCTATCCTGTGAGTATCAGATTTTCCAAGTCTTCTTTCTTTATTATGTGCTCCAGAAATTTCAACTGTCTTTTCCTGATGTTAAATATGTCTTTTTTATCGCCATTGTTTCTAGAACTTCGTCGTCACTCGCAGGTTCGTGTCATGGTATCCCGAGTATCTTTCTGTAGAGCCACATTTCTGTTGCTTCAAGTTTCTTCTTCATCGGTGAGGAGATTGTTCAGAATTCACTGCCATGTAGGCGGATTGATATTACATAACAGTTCAGTACCTTTTTCTTTGTTCCTAACGAAATTTTTCTGTTACTTAATACTTTGCTTAGCTTCTGGAAGGCACTTTCGCTATCCTAGTTCGCATTCATAATTCCATACCGCACTTTCCGTCCACCGTCAATACGCCTCTCAGATATTTAAATTTCAACAGTCTTTTCCTGATGTTAAGTATAAGTGTCTTTTTTATCGCCATTGTTTCTAGAATCTCGTCGTTGCTCGCAGGTTCGGTTCATGGTATCCTGAGTATCCTTCTGTAGAACCATATTCCTGTTGCTTTCTCGTCTTCATCTGTGAGGAGATTGTCCAGAATTCACTGCCATATAGGAGGACTATTACATGACAGTTCAGTACCCTTTTTCTTTGTTTCTAACGATTTTTTCTGTTTCTTATTACTTTGCTTAGCTTCTGGAAGACAACTTTCGCTCTCCTAATGCGCATTCAGATTTCCATATCGCACTTTCCGTTCTCTGTCAATACGCTTCCTACATATTTAAATTGTTGCACCTGTTTGCTTTCGATATGTCCAATTTGTAATTTGCATGTTGGTTCCTTTTGTCAACAACTATGCGATCAGTCTTCTTGAAATTGGTGTTTAGTTCTTTCTTCTTGCTTTCCTTTGTTGAGCTATTTAATACTGAATAGGTATCTTATGGAATAGAAATCACAATGAGTTAATAATAGATAGGTAGACTTCATTTTTTTAAAAAATATTTTATCGCTCTAGTAACTACCTGATTCCTGCAATACTCTACCTTTACAAGAACTATAACAAGTCAGAAACGGGGTACTATTGCCATATATGGGCAGCAGCGGCCCAGTCTTCACTTTCAAATCTTGATAGAATCCAAAAGCATCTCAGCTAAGACCTACATGTTTCATTCCCTCGAAGCCATTTTTCGCCATATGATCTGAGAAAACGATTGTAAACAGCTGACATTTTAGATATTTCTAAAAGGGTTGGGCGCCATGCAGGATATTTATTGTCGATGAAGTAGAGGAGAATATTGTAATGGAATCATACTTATTATAAAACCCAGGTTGTGTGTGTGTGTGTGTGTGTGTGTGTGTGTGTGTGTGTCTGTTCGTTTATATATTGGATCGGATTTCCGACATATTTCAACCGATTTCAACAAAATTTCACAGGACTACGTAAAATTACCTTGCAGTGGTTATGACAGCGCCAAAAATTGGAAAAACACAATTGTTTTTGCACGAAATCAATTTGAAAACACGATTAACAGGCATCGCAAGAATGAAAGGGGGACAACTCATATCGAGTTATACTTAAAACCCAGGTTGTTTTTGTGTGTGTGTGTTCGTTTTTATATGGGATCGGATTTCCTACATTTTTCAACCGATTTCAACAAAACTTCACTTTTTTTGGCAGGGAGTGTTTCTTATTGTCTTGCACACTTTTTTCTTTATTTTTACATTCAGAATGATTTAAGAATTCCATTTACAAGACAATTGTTTATAATAAAATTCTATTCAATCGATAGACTGATAACGACTGAAAACAATGTTTTTGTTTGCGTTTGGGTTTGACCAATTCGGAAAAAAAAAAACAAAAAAAAACAAAAAAAAAATAATTAAGACATGCGTGTCCATTAACCTTAAACAATAATCTTTGTCAATTTTATTTTTCAGTCTTTATGATGGTCGATACTTGATCTATCTCTTACTGTTACATCCACGGGCAACTACTGCTAGTACTGTAATAATTGCAATGTTAACTGTTTCCCTATAAAGAAACATTTAGAATTCATTGACTGAGTAGCCAGTACTGTTGTAGGTTGAATATTATCTTTCTCTTAAAATTTTTTCAGAAAAACAGATTTCTCAAGTCCAGTGGCTTTTATCGCCCTTTTCACTATTGACGGGTGTTTTCCCTCGAAGCCATTTTTAGCCATATGATCTGAGAAAGCGATTGTAAACAGCTGACATTTTAGATACTTCTAAAAGGGTTAGGCGCCATGCAGGATATTTATATGAAAAACTCGATGATGCTATTTAAGTACATGACTCGAGTTTTGTTGTGGCCTGTTTATGAGCCAGAAAAGAAAGACCCGGAAAGAAGAAGGTAGGTTGAACAAGTTTATTGAAATAACAGAAACATATATACAAAATAAGAGTGTTATTAGTCAGCAGATAGAAGTTTCTGTCCGAACTAACAATATTTAACAGTGTCTCCCCACGAGGAATGTATGTGGCACAAGGCCGAGTTTAACGTGGGTTTCTCCGAGCCCGTAGGCTCGGCCCAAAATATTCCCTTAGAACCTGCATAAACGGGTTCGGGATCTGTCTACTTCCCCGGACGAAACTTTGCCCTTCGGCAAAACTTCGTCCGGGTTCCTCTCTGCCAAAGTAGAGAGTTCGACAGAAGTCGCACACAGTCAGAGACTGCGTTCCGACAGCCGATATTCAACAGCAACCCCCCCCCCACGATGTGGCAGAAGGCCGAGTTTTACGTTGGTTTTTCCGAGCCCGTAGGCTCCGCCCAAAAATATTCCCTTAGAACCTGCATAAGCGAGTTCGGGATCTGTCTACCTCTCCGGATGAAACTTTGCCCTCGTCTGGATTATTATTTTCCGCCCTACACCCCTTTCTCGAAGACGAAACGTTTCAAGCCTCTCACTGCTCTCTCGCTATTTCCATATATTTATGTTTCTTAATACTTTGCTTAGCTTCTGGAAAGCACTTTCGTTGTCCCAATGCGCTTCTGGATTTCAGTGTAGCTCTTTCCGTCCGCTGTTAAAACTCTTCCAAGTTCATGTGTTGAATTTTTTTTTAATTCTCTAACCATATCGCTCACATTTGGCTGTGATGATGTTCCTGAGTGTAGAACCGACCCCTAAAAGACTCCTTCCCTGATCGGTACAAGGGTTAACCTGTTCAAGTCTAGGGTTAACCTATTCGCATAAACTGTGCCTCTCACTATGTAACTCTCTACCTCGAGTGGCTCCCGCGCCTTGTACAGAGTGAATATCATTGTAAAGAAAAAAATAAGGCGATAATTAAGACGCAGGGTGTTACTGGGTTTGAAAGAGAATGAGAAGTGAGGAAAAAGTACAATAGAACAAGGATTCAAGAAGGCGGGAGATGGCGATTGATGTTGCATTTGAATGTTTGAAGATTGTAGAAAGCAGAGAAGCAAGAAACTGGGAAATAGTTCCACAGGTGAGAAGTGCGAGAAATGAAACTATTAGAATAGAACTTACGGTTACATCACGATTATTTCAACAATAAAGGAGGAATTCCCAAAAGTTAGAAAACAGGAATCTGCAAGGCAATTTTTGTAAAGAGAATTCATTTATTTAGATTGGTTTCGTTTCGTTTCATTTACGGTATATCAACCTCAATGGGTTATTTAATGCCGACAACATTTTTATTGCTGGAAATAATTTTTCCTTCAAAAATTTATTGCTGGTAATTATTTAAAAAAAAAAAAAATTAAAACCTATTTTTACGCTTTCATAGTGTTTTGACCCCAGTTTAGGGGTTAACTATTTGCCCATAGCAGGGACCCTAACAGGTGCTACCACCCCAGGTAAGGGTGGACCTACGAACACTGGCAATTAAGAGTTGGTTCCACGGTCTTCAAAGCCTCCTGATCAGAAACTTTGCTGTCGTTTGGAGTTTGTCGTCTTACCCAGGATGCCGGATGTAATTTATCGTCATACTCAGGACTGAGTTCCACAGGTGAGAAGTGCGAGAAAAGAAACTATTAAAATAAAACGTAGCTATTTCAATAATAAAAGGATGAAACCTAGTTGTCAATTTAGTCGTACGCTTAAATTCATGCAGTCGAGATGCAAGAGGATTACGGCCGTATCACGTTGAAACACCGATTTCCGTCCGATCACCGAAATTAAGCAGCTTCGAGCCTGCTCAATACCTATTTGGGTGACGACTTGGGAATATCAGCTCCTGTGAGCTTGGATGTGAGAGTGGTGTCTCGGCATTATTAATCGGAGAACCGTGTTCCAATTCCAGTTGGGTTCGTTATATTCACTTACGCGGCAAATATCCTTTGGAAAGGTATGAATCCACCTCTTATCATCCTCCCAGCTATGGGTTAATTAGTAAAACGTGTATCACTAAATTATTATTATCTCCAAAAACTAAAACAAATTCTTACTATGTAAAAATATTTTCTGGCTTTAAATAACCTGCAAAAAGCTGATGAATATTTATAGAAAAGACAGAAGGAAGCCACATTACAGCAGTGGAAAAGTAACTGAAGTCGAGATGCCAGGACCGATTACATTGCAGAGTCATCTTTGGAGTTTATCGAGAATCTCGATATATATATATTTATATATAACAACGCCGGGTCATGCTGCTATATATATATATATATATATATATATATATATATATATATATATACTAGCAGCATGACCCGGCGTTGCCTGTGCTTGATTTAAAAATCGTACGACTCATACAGCTATCACTTGACTTAAAATATTTTTGCCTTCCTTGCCTTTTAAAGGGGTGCCCTTTGCCGTGCTGATGTTGCTAAATGCCTTACTTCTTGCCTATCTCACACTGCGAACTTTTTCTAAGCTCTATACTAAACATTAAATCTGTTACGAAAAAAAGAACTAAACAAAATGAACACAAAACGATCAGCTTTAAAAAAGGACTCGTAACTGGAAAAACCGAATGAAAAAAGAATGTTAACAACAAATACTTTTTCACACCCAACCCAGTTCTGCGGAATCAGAATCAACGTTGAGTTTAAGCAAGCGAATGAGCCAATTGGAGTAAAGTGTCATGTAGATTTAAATTTTTCCCATTTGTGACGAATGCAGCTATCGATTTTTTTGCATGCTAGCATGCTACTTAACATTCGTGTCAGTCAGCTGTTGGCTCTCACGCTGGCCAATAGAATCTTCCTGCCTATTTGTGGCAGCCAGCTATAGGCTCTCACTCTGGCCAGTAGAAAATGGCCGTAAACTACATGAAAAGTACTGTAGAAGCATGAAAAAATTCGATTATTTCCACTATCGATGGGAGTTGGGAAATGCAACGTCGGTCTTGGCCTTCCCGCTAACTTGGAGCATGTGCATGTACATTTTGGTGCAAATCCGTCGATAAATGCGGCCGTGTATTCGTTACCCCCATATATATATATATATATATATATATATATATATATATATATATATATATATATATATATATATATATATATATAGGAGGAACATACCAGATATGGCAGCAATATTCAATGCACGGACGAATGGTAGATTCTGACGAGAAACATTATTATCTGACACAACATCACTGACGTGCAGTGGTTTGGTGATGTCCGGGGTCAACTCCTTCATTGTATGCCACTAAGACTCAAGTCGTAGAGCTTGTAGGGCCTAGTACTGAGAAATGAAGACATTTTAACTAAATAACAAACGGATGGAATAGGAAATAAACACTTTATTTAAATTAAATATCCACTAAATTTTTATTTCAGTCTTTGATGGAATCCCCCCCACGAGATACTGATGCCTGGGGGGGGGGGGCTGCCGCACCCTCTGCACTCTACTCCACGGACACAGTGAGCCAGCTTTCCTAGCAATTGATTCAATATATTCTTTTCATTTCATAACAGTTTAAAACATGAGACTAAGAAAGTAAAATGAGTTGCTCACTTAACACAGGTTGTATTTACTCATGACTTTCCTCTACCTATAAACGCAAGTTTAAACACGATTTATGCCAACCAATGTAGCGTGTTTAAACTTGCGTTTATATGTAGACATACGCTACAGGCCAAAAATCTGGGGATACCTTCTGGATTTAATAATTAGTAAATTTCATACATTTTTATTTGTTTTGTTTTGTTTAATTAACTCCGCTGGTGCTAAAACTATTAGTACAAGGCGTCTAATTTTTAGAAAGTTACCGAAAATTTTAATTCGCCATCCCTATGGTTACCATTAGCCAGGCTTACGGCTACGTCACTCCGGTTCCCATATCATCACCAAAGTTAAGCAACGTCAAGCCTAGTCATTCTATATGGGTGACTGCTTGGGAATACTTGATGCATGGATGTGCGGGTGGTGTAATGGATAATGGCTTGTGATTGTTAATCGGAGAGCCGAGTTCCAATTCCAGTCAGGTTTTTTGGGAAAGTTAAGAATCCTTCTTTTTTCCCCCCAGCTATGGGTTAATTAGTAAGACACATATCACTAAATCATTATTATCTAAAAAAAAATGGAAAATATTGTGAAAAATATTTAGATTTTGACATTAAATGACCCATAGAAGCGTTGATATGCCGTTAAGCACAAACAGCTAACCAAATATAAGCCATTAACCCATTTCCGCATGAATTTTTTTAATTTTAATTTTTTTTTACTTTGTGGAAACTGTAACAAAAAAGTCCACAAAAAGGTAAAAAAATTAAATTGAAAGAAACGTTATACTGAAATGGGTTTAATTTCAGTCAGTTATGTGCCATTCATGATGTATACTTAGGAGATCTGTCCATACATAATTGACTAAGAAGATTTTCTTCCCGCAGTAGGTTGCCATTTCTTCCTGCGGGTGACCAGTTTCCATCAAAGGCTATAGAACCCGGTATGTCCTGCTATTTACCCATAGCTGGGGGGAGAAGATTAATTTTAGTTAATTTAGTCATTGTTAAAATGAATACATGATAAAAGCCTTTAGGGAGAGAAAGTCAATCTGGCCGGAAGTTAGCTAGTAAATTAATTTTGAAAAAGGCCCCAAACTTTCAATTTTTAGTCGATTTTCCGAAATCCAGAGTGTGATCCTAAACTTTTGGTTTATATTGTTCATACATGTATAAACATTTTATTCCTACCTAATCCAGGTTCTTGCGCCAAACACAAAGAATTAATAGAAATAGCAAGACACAATAAAAGGCGCAAAATTATGAAGCAAGACAACCATTGCTTAAAATTTCAAAAGGAAAAACATATTTATTTAGCGTTTACCTAATTTCGTAAAAAGATAAAGTTTGCACAAAAAATTTCCTTTTGTGCGTCTATTAAGGCAGGTTAACAATTTCAAGGATTGCCAACGAAAAGTGGAAAATTACAGCTTGGGAAAAAACAAGGATTTTTTAAATGACCAAAAGGGAAAACAATAAAGAAGGCAGTAAACAAAAACAACAACAAAAAAAAAAAACGGTTCAACAGCCTTTGAGAAAAAAATGAAAAGACCTACATTCACTTGCCCAAATGTCCGTTTCTGGGACAGTGTAACTTTTTTGAAAAGTTCACTTTTAGTTTTAGCCCCTATACAATTCGCGCTTGTGAAAATGTCTTCGAAATTTTTTCGTTTTAGGCTGTCCAACCACTGGAGAATTTTCACTTGAACTTTTGGTCTCTCCGTGGATGACTGGTAACTGGTGTCTTCTTTGATGTTCTCTCTTTGATGACAAATGGATTCTTTGATGTTGCCGACATTTTTCTCTTGCTGTCCAAAAATTTGCTCTCTATTTGCTAACCTCTCCACAAAGCAAGGTGTGGCACAAGGCCAGTTTTTAACGATGGGCGTTCCGAGCCCGTAGGCTCGGGTAAATATTGCTCATAGACCCCGTATACACGGGGTCGGTTTTGTCTACCTACCCAAAACGGGACTCTGCCCTTCGGCATAGGATTCCTCTCCGTCCGGAGGCAGAGAGTTCGACAGAAGAAGAAGAGAAAGCCTCCTCCTCCAAAAATCTGCTCCTCGTATCTATTGAACTTGACCTCTATTTACTTTTTAAATTTCGGCTCACCTCTGCAACACTGCGATGTTATTAGGGCTTGAGACGACGTCGCTCATTGGTCAATATATACAAAAAAAATTAATTTTCAATAAACCGGAAATGGACCCTTCAAAATTTTGGCGGTTTTAATCGCTAAGCCAAAATATACACAATTTTAACAACTTTTACACAAACCGTTTGATGTTCAAACTTCCCTTAAAAGAACGTGCTTTAAAGAAAATAATATTGACGATTTTACATTTAGACTATTAATTTTTTTTTTTAATAATATAAAAATAAATTTATTTACACATGTACTCATAGGTAAACAAATGCTGTGTTTATATTTGTGTCAATAGCTAAACATTGATTGTTTATACTTACGTTCAGAGGCAAGCAGAGTCAGACAGATATAGGTCGTGTTTCTACTTGCGCCCATAAAAAGACATAGATTGTGTCTATCTTTGTGTTCATACATAGATATAAATCATGTCTTTACTTGCGCCAATCAGTAGATATAGGTCGTGTTAATACATCAATACAGAACCACAGGTAGATATTGTGAGGCCCGGAAAATTGGCTAACGGAAAATTAGGTAACTAAAAATTGGGTTACGGAATATTAGGTAACTAAAAATTGGGTAACGAAAAATTAGGTAACGGAAAATCGCGTAACGGAAAATTGGGTAACGAAAATTTGATTACGGAAAATTAGGTAACTAAAAATTGGGTTACGGAAAATTATGCAACACAAACTTGGGTTACGGAAAATTGGGTAACGGAAAATTGACTATCGGAAAATTAGGTTACGGAAAATTGGGTAACGGAAAATAAGGTAACGGAAAATTGGGTAACGGAAAATTGGGTAACGGAAAATAAGGTAACGGAAAATTGGGTAACGGAAAATTGGGTAACGGAATATAAGGTAACGGAAAATTGGGTAACGGAAAATTGGGTAACGGAAAATTGGTAACGGAAAATTGGGTAACGGAAAAATCGATAACGGAAGATTTTAAAAAATTCAGTAACGGAAAATTTGGTAATTTTGACAAGGTAGGAAAATTCGGTAACTACGAAATAAAAGTCAATTTAAAATTAATTTTTGGGGTGATTTGGGGGCTAATCCCCCTTTTGCCTAATTGTTAAATAACTGAACATCGTGAGGTCCATATAAAACCCCACTACAACAATACCAGGGCCGTAGT